CTTTAAGTGCTGATTCGGATAAAGTGTCAACTTGACATGTACATGTGGATATGAGTCACATAATAACAAATACGAAAAACACAAAATTAAATTTATAAAAATAAAAATAGCTATAATCAAAGTCTAAAACAATACAATATAGTGCAAGACATGCACATATATTGACTATTTAACTTGATAGCGATACGAGCACTTGCATGGAGAAAATTTGTCAAACAACGCTCACTTCGGTTTAACAATTCACAGGGAAAGAGTACTACGAGTATGAAATAAAATAGAAACTAAAAAACATGAAATTTGTAATTGTATGGTTGTTGGAGAAAGTAATTGAGAAAAATAATGAGAGTGAGAGATGCAATTAGTTGTGTTTAGTTGTGTTTGACAATCGATCGAGAGACAATCACGTAATTAACCAGTTACCTAAATGTATATTCTTGTTCGCAAGTTCTTCTATTTATCCTTAGTACTCCTCGACCAACCCAACATGCTAAATTGTTTTCTCCACCACTTGTTCTTATATTCCCCGTCCTCAAAATCATTTGTCGCAAATCAAAAGTTCTTAAGTGAGCGACAATACTGTAATACGCAAAAAATGCAAAATTCTATTTGAAAATACTAAATTTCAATCTCTTCAAATTTTGAAACAGATATGTTAGCGGGAAAGTTAATTTTGACGTGACGATTTAATCTAATATTTTGCTTTGAGCCGTGTTTTTATTAGATAAAATTAATCAAGGCCAAAATAATCAAGACCGGAGTGATCTCTAACAACTTTCCCACTAACGACATGCTTACAAGAAACTTACTCTTCACACTTATCAACACGTGTTTCTTTCGAATGTCACGATTTACAAACAATTCTTCTTTTTTGGATCAAATAATAAGCCTAATTTATTTACTCTTTATTTTCAAAAATTAGCCCTTTATAAAATTAAAATGATAATTTATTTTCAAAAATAAATCTTGTTTATTTGAACACTTTTTTAAAAATAAATCTTGTTTATTTGAACACTTTTTCAAAAAAAAGGTTAGCTGAGCTTTGAACGAAAATATCCATAAGATTTTTTGTTATTTTGTCCAAAATAGATTTTGGAGGAAAATATTTTTTTTTTTAATTCAAGATCTTCAGTCTTTGGAAAATATTTTAATATTTAAAATTATTTGAATTATTTAAAAATATTTTTAATTTATTCCAACTGACTGAGAATCACATTTTCGTACATGGGAAATTTATAAATTAATCCTCAATAAAAATCGATCAAAGATTAAAAAAATATATATTAATTATCTGGAGTTAGCTAGTATGTTCTGAAAGTCGTTGAAGTTGTCTGAAAGTTGTTTTGTTGAAAAATATTTTTTTGCAAAAGAACTCTCTTCTTGAGTTTTAAACTTCAAATGTTTACCATAATTTTAGTGGTTTGACTGAACCTAATCAGTTGGAGATCAATCACACTCGATCAATCATCATCAATAAATCGAAGAGATTGAAGATTGATCTTTACGTTTCATGAGAGGAAGATTGATATGCGTAAAACCTACGTATGAAAAACCGCAAGTATACAGTATCGCGTTTTGTAGAATAGTGAATTCCAGATATCGAACCACAGGGAATTAAGTTCCTAAATTTATCAAGTACCGTAATTGTACTATCCTAAACTTTAACTAGACGATCGAAAAGATGGGAGAAATGAAGCTAAAAAGAAACAATAAATAGGTCCGCCAGGACAAATGAGGAATTCCGACGTGTGATGGCTTCTAAGTAAAATCCACCAGTTTACTATCGATAAAGATCTACAAATCTGATTGTAATGTCATTTATATATTCGCTAATCCAGACAATAAAATACACTAACTCCCGTCTCCAGTGTAGTTAGAGTCTACCCACAGGTCCGACGTCTAAGTTCAGAACATGACATTAACAGAGCATTTATGTCAAGTCCTTAAGGGCTACTCGAGGTGCATCATCACGTCTCCACAACCCGAGCTATGTTTTCCTAAAATCAAACGAGAAATCCTCTCTCGAGTTCATTCTCATTTACAATCAATTCAACTGCTGGCCAAACAATCGGAATCATTTATTATAGGAAAACATAAACATGATCAAAGAACGACGAATAGATCACATATCTGGAAATCAAAATCAATATATACAAGGCTTTATTTGCCTAAAAGAAAATGCTCAGTTCATTACAAACATAGCATCAAAATGAAGAACACGAGAAATCATAAGATAAACGTAAAGAAAAAACTTATGAAAAACCCGAGTCGAAATCCTCGTCGAAGCTTCCCGTGAAGAACTAGCGAAAACCGAAAAGAAAACCGAAGAAGAAGTCAAGAGTCAAAAGGTGGCTATGAGTACTTTATCATTTTATTGATGATTACTCTCGCTATGGGAGTATTTATTTAATGCGCCATAAATCCGAGCCTTTTGACAAATTCAAAGAATTTAAATCTTAGTCAGAAAACAGATTAAATAAAACCCTCAGGACACTTCGGTCCGACCGAGGTGGCGAATACCTTGTAGGCTCATTCCGAGAGTACTTGGTTGATCAAGGGATTACAACCCAGTTGACAACACCGAGTACACCACAACAGAATGGAGTTGTAGAAAGAAGAAATATAACTCTTTTAGAAATGGTTAGATTTATGATGAGCTACTCAACCTTACCTTTTTTTTTTTTTGGGATATATACCTTGCAAACTGCAACACATCTACTCAATAGAGTCCCATCGAAGTCAGTACCCAAAACCCCTCTCGAGTTATGTTTTGGCAGAAAGCCAAACTTTACCCACATTCAAGTATGGGGTTGCCCAGCGCATTTGCTGAACGCAAATGCAGATAAGTTTGGTTCGAGAACTGATGTGTGTTTGTTCATAAGCTATGTGAAATAAAAAAAAGGATGGTCTTTCTAGATCCTAAAGGAATGCGTGTTGTGTTTTCCACAAATGCAAGATTCATTGAAGAGGACTATACAAGCAACCATAAGAGTAGGAGTCAAGTAAGAATAGAGGAACTAGAAGCAACCCAATCCATGGACACTAACGCACCGAAAGTACAAACTGAATCAACACCAACCATGGTTCGAGATCGATTGCCCATCACAAATAGGAGAGTTGTCGAGAATCGAACCAATGCAAATGAACCAGTTGGCAACCCGGATCACGTTGAAAATGAAGGGGTTGTTGAGAACCAAGTTCAAACGCAAGAAACGATTGACAACCCGGAACCCGATTTGAGTGGGAGGGGAACCGAGAATCAACCCGAAGCACCAGTGCCTCGTCATAGTGGGAGGGTTCCAATTAGACCTGAAATATATATGTTCTTGGGCGAGTCTCACGACAAGAACCCAGAATAACATGAACCGAACCGAGAAACTATGATGAAGCGCTAAGTGAATTAGATTCTAGTCATTGGCTCAAGGCTATGAAATGCGAAATGGATTCCATGTACACGAACCATGTATGGGAACTAGTAGAACTTGCAGATGGGATTCGTCCCATAGGATGCAAGTGGATCTACAAGAGAAAAAGAGGCACATACGAAAAGGGGGAAGCCTTTAAAGAAAGACTAGTGGCGAAGGGGTATACTCAGAAAGAAATGATCGATTATGAGGAGACTTTTTCGCCAGTATCCATGCTTAAGTCTATACGCATTCTACTCTCATTCGCCGCATATTTCAATTATGAAATATAGCATATGGACGTCAAGACAGCTTTCCTAAATGGAAGTCTTGAAAAGCGCATCTATATGATGCTACCTGATAGTTTCATGGCCAAAGGCCAAGAACACATGGTATGCAACCTCAAGAAGTCCATCTATGGACGTAAGCAAGCATCGAGATTATGGAACATCCGTTTTGATCAAGCAATCAAATCTTTTGGTTTTGATCAATGTCCGGATGAACCATGCGTGTACAAGAGGTGAAACGGAAACGTAGTGGTGTTTTCAATATTGTACGTAGATGACATACTCCTCATAAGAAATAATGTAGGAGTGCTATTATCGGTTAAGGTTTGGCTATCGAGTCAATTCTATATGAAAGACTTGGGTGAGGTTGCATATATTATTGGGATCAAACTATTGCGAGATCGCAAGAATAAGATGCTTGGGCTTTCACAAACATTTTATATCGACGCAGTCCTTGCCCGATTTAGCATGCAAGAATCCAAGAAAGGTTCATTGCCTTTCAGACATGGAATCTCACTGTCTAAGGACCAATGTCCTAAGACATCTGATCAGATGGAAAGAATAAAGACGATTCCTTATGCTTCGGCAGTGGGAAGTGTCATGTACGCCATGCTATGCACTAGATCGGATATCTGCTATATCGTGGGCATAGTGAGCCGATATCAGTCTAACCGGGAGAAAAACATTGGACCGCGGTAAAGCATATTCTCAAGTATTTTTTTAGGACTAGAGATTATATGCTAGTTTACCAAGGCGATAACATAATGTCGATAAGATACACCGTCTCGGATTTCTAAGCCGCTAGGAAATAAACATCAGGCTATGTGTTTACCTTGGGAGGATGAGCCATTAGTTAGAGAAGTATCAATCAATCTTGGACTAATTCAACTATGGAAGCCGAGTACGTTACAACTTCAGAAACAACAAAGGCAGTATGGTTTAGGAAATTTCTCATGGACTTGGGAGTGGTTCCAGCAGCTCGATCAGCTATGACACTGTACTGCGATAATAGCGGGGCAGTTGCCAAGTTGAAGGAACCTAGAGCTCACAAGAAGGGAAAGCACATTGAGCGCAAGTACCACATTATTCGAGATTTCTTTGGTCAAGGAGATGTGGTGGTTACAAAGAAAGCATCTGAAAACAACCTAGTAGATCCGTTCACCAAGAGCCATCCAGTGAAGACTTTCAATAAACACGTAGATGGATTGGGGTTAAGATGCATAGCCACATGGCTTTAGTATAAGTGGGAGATTGTTAGAATAGTAGACTGAAAGCCTTACTTTTATCTATATATAAACTATTTATTTTCTTAATAAAGCTTGTTCATTTTAGTCATTTGCGAGAATCAACGCATGAGTATTTCAAGTACCTTTAATTGGGATGTTGATTAATTGTCAGTTAATTAAATGTACAAGTCTATTATTCTAATAGTATTCGAAATAGTGTGCTACGATGCACGGAAAAATCATTTCGAAAGTTCGTTTAGAATATAAAGATTAAACGTACACAATCTAGATGGAATTGGACTAACCATTGGTTAATGATTGTAGCACAATATTTTAGTGATTGGTCTTGATCATGGTAAATATAGAATAAATTTTGTAGTTATCGTTTTGACTTATTGTGCTAGCACACCCGAAATGTGTTGAACATGATAAAGTAAAATAATTGTTTCATCACTGATTAAATATGGAGCTGTATTATTTCTAGGTTTACAAGAAATTACTTCACCTCTTAATCCCTAGATAATCAACATACACATTAATTGGTGATCTCCACTTTGATGTCACAATGGGAGAGATTCCTATATTGAGTCAAATGAGCCCCAATGCGTTGGGTGGATACACTAAGAATTAATTTGTGGAAATTAATTGTCGAAAGGAATTTACATCTTTGAAATATGAGTTTGATTAATAACCATTGAGTAGCTTATGAGTTTTGTTTATGTCAGAAACTCGGCCGAGTGGATTTCGTATCTGACATACACAAATAAGTTAAGCAGAAAAGACTCAAAATAATATGCCAAGTTAATTTATTTTTCAGTGAATAAATTAATTGGTGGTCTTTTGATTATCTTAATGCGAGGAGAAATTAAATAATGATAAACGGGAGCTCGAAATAAAATTTTGAGAATATAATCGGAAGTAAACAATTATTTGATAGTGGAAAATAAATAATTGTTTAATATTTAATTAAATGAATTCTTTTTAGAATTTGGATTTAATTAATTGTTAAATTGCCCGCATTGTATTTTCTCCTTTAATCCCTAGTGTAGCGCAATGGATAATTCTAATTAATTGAGAAAATGTAATTAAATCAAGCAAATATGGTGAAGGATAAATTGGAAAATTATTTAGCTAATTTTAGCCTATAATTTTCGGCCATAGCAAGAGAGGGAAGAGAAGGAATTTTTCCTTGGACTCTTTTCCTACTTCAACTCCTTCTAGAATCTTTAAAGATAAGATGAAACAAAAGTTTGAGTCCAAGGCCTCTATGCTAGAGTTGGAGGAAGATTTGATTCTTCAATCCTTCTGCTAGTGCAACTCTTTCTAAACCCTTATATATAGTACTTAATGCAAGAGAAAAATCATTTGTTCCATAAGATAGTAGTAGCCAATGTTTGCAAGAAAAATAACCAAAAAAAGCTTTGCAATTTTCGAGAAGCAAGGAGTGGTGGGAAGTCCTCGTTCGTGCGCCGAAGATAGTTTGGATCTGCTCTCCGAAACATAAGTCCATTGATTAGATTTATTCCACTTTAACTAAATCAAATATATGCATGCTAATTAGAATAGAAAAACCGACTAATTTAGAACCTCATACGGATTTTTATTAGCTCTTGGGTTTCACATTCCAACACACCCCTACCCCATACGCTAATTCGATCTACATCCCTTCGCAAAGACGAAACTGCAGTGTTTTCAAAACCGGACCGGATAGGCATTTGGGTCATGGTTGAACCGGTTCAACCGGTGTCAACCCCGGTTTTTTCATTTTTTATTTTATTTACTTTTTAATAATTTTATTACTTTAAAAGTACCGTTTTCTCTATTTATTTTTATATTTCACTCAACTTTCCCACTAAAATTTTATTTTCTCTATTTATTTATTTCACTTAATTGCACATAGTCTCCACTTTATTTCATATAATTTTATTTAGTAATTACAATTTTTTCTTATTTAACTATACTCACTTCTGTCTATTTCTCATTTAGATATGTTTTTCCGTCTTTACTTTCACGGTCCTGCTATCTCTCCCTCATTTGTGAAATGTTCTTCAACAGCAGCCACATCCACCTCTTTCTTTTTCTCACTGCCTCCTTTCACAATTTTCCTCTCCACCTTCACAAGCACACCCCGGTTTCTCTCCATTTTCGACAACGTAGAGATTAGATCCGGTTTTGCCCATGACAGTTGTCGGTCTTTACTGCCAAGATCTAGCCGTCAACATTGAACCAAACCGAAAAAGTGCCGGGTCGCGGTTGAACCGGTCGGACTGGACGGTCCGGTCCGGTTCTGACAACCATGGACGAAAGTGCAAAAGTGTGTGTGCAAGTGTTTGTGAAAGAACACAAGTGTCGGAGAACGCAAAGTCGCTAAGTCAGCCTCACTCAAAAGTGTAAAAGAGTGTGTGCAAGTGTTTGTGAAAGAGCACAAGTGTTGGAGAGTGATCTCAAACTTTAGACTATTTGATTAATGAATTGTTGGATGATTGCAAATGAATGAGTCTACCCATTTATGTAACTCCACCTTCTCAATGGATGGTGGTGATCATCTTGATCTAAAGGCTACGATTAAATCCTACGATCTCCTATCAAATACATTAATGGGAGAAACCTAGAAAATCTTCTAGAATCATCTACTCTTAGACTTAATTGGGCTCCCTGTGTCTTGGACTCGCTTGATGGGTCGACTGTAACCTCTTGGTTCCAAGGCAAAATAAGCAGCCCGGTGAGAATATGGAATAAAAGTTCAAGGACATGGAATTGTGGATTAAGAGAGTTTCTCCGAACCACTGTCAATTTTGTGTTATTTATTTTACTCACTTTATTTTATCGTCTTATTTTCTCTTCAAGAAAATTATATTTCCTAGATATTTAAATCTACAAAAAGAGGAAAAGTTTTAAAGTCCCCTCTTAGACATATTTAGTTTCTCAAAATCCAGTACATGTTAATCCTAAATAATATTGCATAAATTACAAAAAACAATTCATATATATAAATAAATTGACACAAGTACAATGTAGAAACATGATTTATTATTGTATTATATCACAGTAAAATATATGCAACTCTTTCATACATGAACAAATGAAGCTAGCTAGCGGCCAGTGAACTGGCTAATGGAGGCAGTGGCGTTAGAATTTGATGATCCCAATGAAGTTGAAGTGGTGTCACCAAGTACCCTCATTCCATAGCTAAAAGAGCCTCTTATTGGCCCCTTTTGCTCTATCTTTCCACCACTTAAAAGCATCACGAGAATTTCGGACATTGTTGGCCTCGACGAAGGCGGCGACTGCGTGCAAACGAGAGCGATTTCGACCATCTTCTTCACATCTTCGTGTGTGTAGTCGTTCGGCTCTAGCTTCTCGTCGGCTAGTTTCTCATGCATGCCGCTCTCGTACAATTTCCATGCCTATTTATTTTATCGAAAATAACATTCGAAAATTAACGGATTATGACAACCCTCGTTAATTGGGAAAGTTGGTACTTAGCGTCTAGAGGTCCAGGGTTCAGATCCTGCCCCTCTCCTACTTTCACAATTTGAATTTAAAAAGAAAAAAAAAAGGAAGAAAGTTACCTCTTCAAGTAGATATTCAGTGTCGGAATCAGCATTCATGTCGCTGCCTCTGCGGCCGCTGATGATTTCGAGGATCACAACTCCGAAGCTGTAGGTGTCGACTTTCTCCGACAGATGCCCGTGGATCGCGTATTCTGGTGCTGTGTAGCCCCTGATCATATCCACACAAGTTTGCAGTAAATACCACCGGCAATCAATTATCAAATTGTTATGTCTCGTGTTTTATTTCAAAATTAGATTAGTCGAGATAAGTTTATGGAATCTTAAGCGACCCAAATCGTACAATACACAGTTTTTCAATAAACTAAGATAAGAACTCATTTTTCCATAACTGCAGGCTCGCCTGAAAAGAAGTTATTGCGCTAACAAAAAGTCTACAAAATATGGCCTAACTAATTAATTAATTACATATAACTTACGTTACCAACCAAACGAGGTGTTAAGCTATTCGATTGCTCACTTGAGATCGAGGGTTCAAAATGCACGTGAGCTCGGATAGTTATCCTGACGGGCTAAATTTGTATAAATATTTTTGTTCGATAAAATATGAAGTTTGGTTCAAACTCGACTCAATTAGAACAAAAGTGATAAAATACGTGTAAGAAGTGAAGATATTCAAGCTCGACTCAGTTCAATTAGAAATCGGTTGGACTCAATATATATGATATAGAAGATCAATAAGTTCAAACACAATTTGTGAAGACAGTTAAAAATTTAAACAACTATTTAACGGATAAAGAGTCGTGCGTAAGCTCGACTATTGTTTCATTTACTCTTAAATATAACGCAAATCATGAAAACATGATTGTGTTAATATCTTCCCGTTTTCCGGGCAAGGTTATAAGTTACGTTCTTGTTTAAATCTTCCTTTTAAAATAGGGTCTCTAACCAATTGAGATATATAATTGAAGACCCGTGATTGGGGAGCATTTAGCATCACAACAATAGTAAAATATATTTTTCAGACTTACAGTTAAACGTCTATAAATTAATACAGTTGGGGCCAACAAAACTTTATTAATTTAGCATAATATTAAATTATTGATTTAATAATTTAGCATGCTATCACCGAGTCGGGACTAGTATAAATTATCATTTGAGTGACGCTATTAATTTATCGAAGTTCTACTGTATTTAGTATAACAAGATTATAATGAATGAAAATGAAGCTGCAAGAAATCAGACAAGAGTACTTACAATGTCCCGGCAAATTTAGTACTAACATGGCTCTGATTCTCCGGTAGAAGCCTAGCCAACCCAAAATCCGCAATCTTTGCTTGAAAATCGTCGTCCAATAATATATTGCCGGGTTTAATATCTCGATGTATAATAGTAACATGGTACTGCTCATGCAAATACGCAAGCCCCCTTGCTATACCGAATATTATATCAAACCGCTGCTTCCACGTCAGCGATCCTCGTTTATCACCTATATATCCCATATTCACGCACAATAAACATTTCTTTTTAATTACAAATTTAATATTTTATCGTATTTGAGATCACAAATACTACACGTACCGTATAGAAACCTGTCGAGGCTTCCATTTGCCATGTACTCGTAAACGAGAAGCAACTCAGATCCTTTGCTACAACAACCTAATAAACGGACAAGATTGCGGTGATGTACATTACTTATAAGCCTAACTTCGCTCTCGAAATCGGCTTTTGCTCTGCTGTAACTTATGTCCAATTTCTTCACCGCGACGATATTTCCGTTTTTTAAGGTTGCCTGTGATTTGTAGGACAACCATTTCAGTTAAAAAATTTATATTGTAATAAAATGCTATTATAATTTATAACAGAGTATATAATTAATATGATTATTACTTTGTAAACATCACCAAAACCTCCTTCTCCTAATTTATTTTCTTCAATAAAATTATTTGTGGCTGTTTTTAAATCCTTGTAGCTGTATATATTTGGGCCTTGCAATTCAGTTGCCCCCAAAATATTACCTAAACAAAAAAACAGAGAGATAAATAGTTATTGCATGTGACCAATTTTATTGCATGTAAATATAGGGCAAATTACGACCAACCCCCAAAGGTTAACCCAAATTACGAAAAAGCCCCTTTTGTTTGGGTAATTACAACTACTCCTCTCAACTATGTATTGTCTTACATGGCCACCCTTACGGTGTCAAATTACCTACTAAATGAGAGGTTTTTTAGTAAGAAAATACATAGTTGAGGGTGGTTGTAATTATCAAACAGAAAGGGTATTTTTGTAATTTGCCCTTAAATATATGAATGAAATGTAAATATAATAACCTCTTGTAGATGCTTTTGCCTTTGTTGAGAACTTGTACCATAAGAAGAAGGCAACTAAAATCAGAACAAGGCCACCACCTCCGCCTACCGCTCCCCCGATAATCGCTTTCGTCTTGCTCGAATTCCCTGTAAATTGGACGAATCGGAAATCAAAATCTAATATATAATCCAATTATGTTCCAATAAGAAATTGAAAAAAATTGGAATCGGAACTTTCGGAATTCGAAATGAAAAATATAAATCCAAAAATGTAAAAATTCTGATCGGAATCGGTGGAATTCGAAATGAAAAATATTAATCCAAACTCTGAAAAATTCTAATCGAAATCGGTAGAATTCGAAATTTCGGGTTTTGGGTTTCGGGTTTCGGGTTTCGGTGGTCAAATTACGAAAATCCCCCTCTTGTTTGGATAATTACAACCACCCCCTCAACTCCTCAAATTTAGTGGAATCTTCGAGATTATATGGAATATTATAACTTTTGTACCCGTTTTATCTCATTCGAACTTTACATTTTGAAACAAGATGATCATAATATGTGTTTTGTTGCTTGTATATACCAGATTGTAGTGCATCAGAAACTGTATTTTCACACAAAACGAGTACAAACGAGAGCACATTCCACAAAATCTAGATGATTATGTTGAATTTGACACCATAAGGGTGGAGTTGTAAGAAAAAAACATAGTTGAGGGGTAGATGTAATTATCCAAACAAGAGGAGTTTTTTGTAAATTGACCATACCTCATGGGGGTGTTTGTAATTTACCCGCAAAACAAAATATTACCTCCTCCTCCTCCTAGAAAGGGCGTGATATCAATAGTCTGATTATCGGCAAAAAACCGCGCATCCGAGTATCGAATAAAGCAGGCGGCATCAATAGCTCTTCCATCGGTATTAGGCAAGCACCCTTGTATGTTACCGTACGCCACGGTCAAGCAATCGCTGCAGCCACTCTGGCTGATCGATTCGGCGCATTGCGCCACACCGTAAACCGATGATGAGTTGGCACCGTTCGATGAAACGACGGCTGCGTAATAGCCGTTGATTCTCGGGGTCGCCGTTTGGAGATTCCTCAGAAGTGTCAGAGCATCCGAGTTGAATGCGGACGGTTGGGATGCGGTTCGATTGCCGCATATTTGTACGTTTCCGGGAAGAGTTGTCTGATCGAAAAAGTTGTTGCTCTCGTACCTTGCAGTGAAAAAAAAAACTATTAATTTGTTGTTGAGATTTTTCGGTTTTATATCGAATCTAAATTAAAAATAATTAATAGAGAAAATTATATATTTTGTTCATTTTCTCGAGGAATTAAGAATGTCAGTCTTCCTCCTTAAAAGTACTAATATGCTGTTTAAATAAACTCTGTAATAATAGTCTACGTTAAAATTATGTAATCTCCTTTTAACTTTATAATATTAAAATTAAGAATTGAAAGGGTCATTATATATATATTTATATATATATATATATATATATATATATATATATACATATACAAATTTGATGCAAATAAAATATAAATTGGTTTTTAAATAAATATCAAATAATTCATTTTATTTTGATATTCCTAGAACTCTCAAAACGATCGAAAGTCAATGGTTCGGATGGATTAGCCAGTTCTGTTATTTTTTTTGTTTTTTGTAATTTACGAGTTATTTACCGCTAAATCAGATGTTCAATGAGGATAACTGCCAATCCGTGGTTAAAGAATATGTAAATTGTAACCAACCCGTATTACACGAACCGGTTTACCATGGTCTTGTTTAGGGGTATCAATCGGACAGGTCGGATCAGAATTAGCCTTTTCGGTTTATTTATTTCGGAATTGAAAAAAAAAATTCCAATCCTGTTCCAAAAAAATCAGAAATCGAAATTTCGGAAAGAAAAAAACATGTTCTAAAATCGAAAAATTTCTGATCGGAATCGACGGAATTCGAAAATTTCACATTTTTTGCCACCTAAAATATAAAACACATAATAATATTGGTATTTGAAGTGCAATATTCGAAACAAAATCAGATTGGAAATCAAAATCTCATATATAAATTTCAATTCAGTTCCAAATAATTCGAAACAAACCGAAAGTCGGAATTTCAAAATTTGGATTGAAAACTATTATTCCAAAATCAAAAAATTACGGATCAGAATCAGTAAAATCGAAAATTTCCCCCTAATCATATTTATGTATAGTTACCTAACATGCACCATAAATTCTCAGTTGGCAGTAAATGGGGACCCTTTTATATATATATATATATATATATATATATATATATATATATATATATATATATATATATATATATATATATATATATATATATATTAATATTATCCTTTAGTTGGTTTGCAAAGTACAACGTAGTAAATAATATTTTAACATCCACTTGATACAATTCTTGACTTATTTGTTTTACTAAAATAAAAAGTCTATATTTGATGATACATGGGATAAATATAATATTATTATCACATGTGTTTTAGAAAATGTAAAATTATAAGTAGTGTTTGTTTATGTTTTGATAGAATATTCTTATATTTTACTCTAGCGGATATATTATGTTTGAAGAGTATCGAGATAAAACAAATATTTGGAAAAAAATAAAATAAAGGACACTTTTTATTGATATTTCAAAGTCATAAAAGATTTTAATTCAATATTGAAGAGAGTTTCTATATGTAAAACAAACTTAAATTTTGAATTCCAATTGAAATAAGGGTAAATTACGGCCGCCCCTGAGATGAAGTCAAATTACAATTTAAATTACGAAAAAACTCTCTTTCAATAGGTAAATTAGACACTATAAAAATAAACGTATAAGAAAAAATATAACTGAGAACATTGTTGTAATTATCCGAACATAATGAATTTTTTCATAATTGAATTTTATCTAAGTAGAGTGGCCGCAAATTGCCTTGAAATAATAATTTTGAAAATAAAAACAGATAATAGGCAATCTATATATACGACAATTTGATATGAATGTTTTGAATAATTGAATGTAATTTGCATACTTGTCTTTATCACTAATGCTGACACTGTGCCGGCCAACTTTCTATGACTATAGCCCACTTAATTATCTATTATTTTTAAGTTTGAAATATAAGTATTTTACTTCTGTGCTTACCACCATAATTCGGTTGTTATGTTGACTAATAATGTAGGCGGGTCCCACATATTTAGATTCATGGATTTAGAATTTTGCACCTTCGAAAATAAATTTAGGCACTTTGCACCCTCAAAATATGTTTAATTATTTAAATTGCATCCTAGTCTATTTTCTGGACATACTTTTTTGTCGTTTACATATTTTATGATCGTCAACATTATCATTTTTGTCTATTCAATTGATTTTATCTTCAGGGTGCAAATTGCTAATGTATTTTCGAACAAAAATGACTTTGTTGACTATCAGAAATTAGGTCAGCGACAAAAATTCTTACCGAAAAATGTACTAGGGTGCAATTTGAAAGATTAAACATGTTTTAAGGGTGTAAAGTGCCATAAATTATTTTCGATGGGTGCGAAGTGGCGAACTGGTACATTTTGAGGGTGCAAAGTGAAATTAAGAAATTTATTTTTTATGTTCTCAACAACGTTAAATTGTTTTTAAATAAATAAAAAATGTGTTTAAAATGCAATATGTTTGTAAAATAAATCAAATTAAAACATAAGATAAAATAAATAATGGAAAATGTTTGGGAAATAAAAAGAGAGAAAAATACCTGAGAAAGCAACCGTCGTAGATAACCCGAGCTCCATTGGCGGCGGAGCAATTCCGGATCTGAGACACGGCGGCGTCGTAGCAGGCCAAGCAATCCACGTCGGACATATAGTTTCTGCACTGTGCCATGGCGTAAGCCGGATCGGAAGACCTCGCCTGCTGCGCGGTGGCGAACCGCCTTCCTCCGCCGCCGCCGGAGAGCTGGGTTCTCAGGTCGGAGAAGGTGGCGTTCAGGTTGTTGAAAAAGTCCGGGATGTTTGTAGCATTATACTGGCTGCATCCTTTATTCAGGAGATTTATTTGCGGTTCGGAATTCGCCTGCCCCCACCACGTGGACACGGCGGCGGCGGCCACCGCTATGAGGCGGAGCCACCCCAGAACATTTCTCCTGGTTTCCATCTAGCCTGCTTTAATTACTTTGGACTGATAATTGTTCACATATCAATTGCAATTGAGTTGTATTTTATGGGCAGTTTGACTAGTTGAGGAACCTTCTCCTATGTTTTCCACAATTAATTTTAAAAATTAGCTCTAATAGGGACAACTATTAACAAAAAGTGGAATTACACTTACACCCCTAAGGTATGCTAAAATAATTTTAAAATTCATGTAGTATCGGTAATTACAATCATCCCCTCAAACATTATTTAAATCCTCACGAAATAATGCATTGGATAAATTATTCCGTTAGAGTTCTAACGGACTATTAGTTTCAGGCAGTAGCTTAGACAATATAGAGCTAAGGGGTGACATGACTCGCATTTCTTAAATCCTTATTATGCATTAACGAACCCACGAGAAACAAATATAATGCATATCGGTCCTCAGGACATGAAATATCGTCTCCGATAATTGTTTCAGGTGTGTGACTGTAATTGCCAATACTATAGGGGCCTTTAAATTTATTTTAGCATACCTCAGAGGTGTAAATGATATTTACCCCTAATAAAAGGTGGAATTAGGGAAAAAAAAATCTAAAGATTAATAATTGATATCAATAAAGACGCACAAATTTTGAGTTTTAATCAAAGCCCCTCCATCCTCTTACTTTTATTAAAAGAACCCTGCAGTTTTTTTTAAGGGGAAATTACTAATTAGTAAGACCCCTTGTTTGGAAAAATTATGTAAGGTAAGAATCCTCTTAAATAAATAATTTAAAAAAGAATTCTTAGATTATACTCTAGCTAATTTTTGAACATTAAATTACAATATTATTATCCTTCAACAACCATAATTTCATTCTTCTTTTCTCTCTCTCATTTACTATCTTCTCTCTTCTCTACTTTTTTTTTTCTTCTCTCATTCCCACCAAAATATACATCGATCTGGAAATAAAGAAACCGACGAGGCGCCGCAAGAATAATGGCCTATTCCCCGTGTGAATTTGCCGCACCCAATTCTATTGAGATGTCTCCTTCTCCATCCCGCTCGCAATCCCCTTCGATGATCAGTGTTTCGAGGAAGATATTGGTGGTGGTGGTTGTATTCATGTTGTTGCGGCGGTGTATTTGTTTTTATGGGGTGTTTTTGTATATGAAGGGGAGTTGTGATAGGTTTTGGATGTGGGGATGGTGATGCTGTTGTGACGATGGAAACAAATCCAGGATTTTTTGAGTAGATTGGGCGGAGGACGACGCGGATAGAGAAAGTCCGCGGAGGTTAATCGACTACGTTTTGGTAGTCGATTAAGGTTAATCTACTATATTTTTTAATTCATTTTTTTTTTTTTAATTTTTATGTATTCATTCCGATTTGTATAAATCACTTATAATTTTTGTACATTTTTTGTTTCGTAAAAAATAGTTGGTTAAATTTTTTGTTTAGCTATGTTTTTATTTTAGTAGCATATTTCTTAATCGACTATGCTTTAGTTGACAATCGATTAATACTCCTGACAAAGGTAAAAAAAGGCTAAAAAAAGAATTTTTTATAAAAAAATAATTATTAAAAAACTAATAAAATAATAATCCAAAAATTAAAATTAGAAAATGATTTGTTTTTTAAGAAAAAAGGAATAAATGTGTAAATATGGTTAGAAAAGTATGGTTGAAAAAAATAAGAAATTAATGTTGAAGGCATTCTACATAGTTCGATTTGAATTTTGAACTTTTTATGATTAGATAGAGAAAAAAGTAATTTTAAAAAATAATTATAAAAATACATTAGTGTTATGTATGGCTACCCTATCGTTTCTTTTCCTTCATATACAAGATGTATGTGTTATATTGATAAATTAATACGCAATACTACAAGATTTTTGTGTATATATAATTGAATTACAATAGAACCTCGATAAATTAATACTTGATAAATTAATAAACTCGCTTAATAATAATTTATTTTGATCCGGCTCGATGAAAACGCATTAAATTATTAGTTCCATAATTTAATATTTTGCTAAATTAATAGAATTTTTGCTAGTTCTGACTGTATTAATTTATAGGAGTTTAACTGTACCTTAGATTAAAAAAACCCTACTAAATTACACTTCAAAAACTTCTTGTAAGTTGGGCTTAATTCCACTTTGCACCCCTGAAATATATTGTTTTAGCACTTTGCTCCCTAAAAATAAATTAATAGCAATTCGCACCCTCAAAACACAATAAATTATGTACAATACGCCCCCAAATTAATTTTTAAACTAATAAAAGTGATTTAATATGTTCAGTGGTATTTTGTTTAGGATGTTAAAGGTCAAATCGATCTTTTTTATTCATTAATGATTTTGAAACTATAAAGTTTCAAAAAAAAAATACACCATATCAATATATATATATATATATATATATATATATATATATATATATATATATATATATATATATATATATATTTATTTATCCAAAAGTATATTGTCTTCCAAATATGTCTACCCAATATTTCTAGCAATTACAATAAAAGATTCATCAAACGAATAAGTTAGTGATAAAAAAATATTTTATTTTATTTTGCAATAATCATGTGTAATTTTTATTTTTTGCACTTTATGAACTCGAAATTAGGTTGGATGGTGAAGAAAATAAAATTTTTATTTGTAATTTTGCACACCAAAAAAAAAACCAATAAAAAATAAAATTGTCTTTAATGGTACATTGTGAATGATTTATTGTGTTTTTAGGGTGCAAAGTGATATTATTATTTTTAAGGGTGCAAAATGACAAAATTTTCCATTTCAAGGATGCAAAGTGGAATTTCAAGCCTGTAAATTGTAACTATTACCTTTAACTACTAGTATTTATTCTTATTTGCACATGATAGGAAAAATGAAAAAAAAAATTATTTAAATACATGACAGTAACAATTATATAAAAATATGTTACACTATTATAATAAAATGTATTAGTAATATCAACATTATCTATTAATACAAGTCCACCCTATACAGTATTATATAAACTTAGTTGTCATTAAATGAAATTGATTGTTAAATAAATGAAGCGAAACATTTAGAGACAAAAATAAAAAGAAAGAAACGTGTAAATATAGTTAGAGATGTATGGTTCAAAAATAAGAAATTGATGTCTAAAATATTCTACACGGTTCGATTTAACTTTTGAACTTTTTATAATTAGAAAGTTAGTAGAGCGAAAAATATTTATTTTTTAAAATAATTAAAAAAGAATCATTAGGGTTTTATAGGGCGTTTGCAATAGTTCTGCTTCTGTTGCTTCTCAAGGTTGCATTTATACATGTCTTAGGAATATGGTGGTGGACTCCACTTTTGTCTCTGGAGTCTGATCATACTAACACGTGGGTGTGATGTAATTACTTCGAGCTGTATATCTGCTGAATGCGAGTTGTCCTATTCCCTGTGAGTTGGGTTAATTCAAACCAAAAGGCTTTGTGGTATTTATCGCCTTCTTTTAAATGTCAAGTAGGTTTTTCCCCACTTATATCGCGTTGCAGGCTTTCCAACTTTTCTTAGTTAACACAAAACTTTCAAAATTGCAATATAATATTTACATGTCCCAATTTCATGTTTATTAAAGTTTTTATCAGAAAACGTAACATATGATGTAATATAATTCATAACCATTGACCATCGAACAAAGATCTGGCAGAAACAATAATACACTACTATAATTAATTGTTATTTTATAGTATAAACTATAAAGTAACCAATGTGACCGAAGAAGGATAATAAGGTGCAACAACTCCAAATATTCCGTGACCTTGAATTTTGACCATAAAAAATAGTCATGTTCAAGGATTCTTAATTAGTTAACGAACAATATTTTCTAAATTAAAAGTTAGAACCATCCAAATTTCTTGGATTTTATGACCACACCAAGATATTCGACGATAAATTACAGCTAGCGTGTACGAGTAGGAACTTTTTTATTCAAGTTATATACATACTAAACTTATGTATATTTGATTTTGTAACCGATTTGTGCATATTTGAATGAAATGACAATCTGCAACTATATTAGATAAATTACACCATGGTGCAATAGTTTGCAAGTCACATTGGCCGAGACCTAAATCAAATGAGGCAATAAAGCTATATATACCTAGAAATGTTAACAAATGTATTTGAATTTTAATCTTATGACGTCATGCACTATCTTGCTCCACTAACTAAATACCCTTTCGTTGTGTACATCGATGTCAAATTCTTTTTTGGGGTCTATTTACAAGAAAATAGTCTAAATTATGGAAATATGATAACCTTAATTAGAGTTTCAATTAAGTTTATTATTCTAAAATATAATTAATGAAATTCTCAAAAAATACTTTTTTATGGGCTTTGAATGAAAGGCTAAGTGGATACAAAAGATCTAATTTATTTAGTTGCTTGAACATTGAATTTTTTTTACTTTTTTTTAGTAAATTCAAGTCCATTACAAAGAAAAGTAGAGGAGGGGGATTCGAACCCTACACCGTTACCCTATTAGTAAAGGTTAGGTACCAATGTTAGACATATTGAACATTCAATGTTAGACATATTGAGTATATAATCCTCAAATATCTGTTTTCATCCTATATGAACTTTTGTCAAGAAATCTCTATCTAACATTTGGGCGTATATTTTTTGTCAAATGAACGAGCGATAGACTTCTATCAGAATAAAAGAATAAATGTGTTCTTCAATGAAGGTCTATGTTACATAGACACGGGAACGGGGACACGGCGACACACGGATACGGACACCGGGATACACTTAATAAAAAAAAGTAGGATACGGGAACGTGGGGATACGTGTAAATATTAAAAATACAAGGGTTTATTTATAAATTATTACTAAATTATGTTTTATCTTTTATGTACAATATTAAAATATACATGAATATTTAATACGTTTATTCAAATAAATTTGCAATTAATTATCAGATTAATGAGAGAGCTGCCAATTTATTCTTTCAGTTTCACAAAAACCCAAATAATCAGATTTGTAAAAAAGAAAATTCCTTTTTTTTTTCCCTTGACACGCGTGTCTACTTAGGGTACGCGTGTCCAACTTTTCAAATATTACAGACAC